CGGTGGCATAGTAAAGAACAGGCTACAGATTGTTCAGAACAGTTGCGTTAGACTTATCTTTGGTCTAAGACGTTTTGATCATGTCTCAAATAAGTTGTCTTATTTGTGGTGGTTGAAAATGCCATACCTACCGAAGCATAGTTATCCGCCATAAATCCAGCCCCATGATGCTTGAAAGTCCAATCACACCAAGTTTCGTTTAGATGTAGTCACCATTAGTTTAATAATGGTTTTGTAGCACCTCAATAGAATGCAATTTTTCATTACTTAACAAGATGTACATGATAAGCGGAACTAAATACATCCACAATACTTTCGGATTCGGTTTCAGCGACACAAAGTTCGTTTAATTTTTTAATGAAGATAATACTCGTATATAAATGAAGGAAGAAAACTAAAGGCATTTAAAGTGTATTGTAACTATGCATCGAATCAGGTCGGGAACAATAATCTCGATTTCTCTACCACTAATCACAGTCTTCCATTAACTGTGGTTTGTTACTTCAACCTTTTGTTTTTCCTACCCTCAGGAGCGCTTCGTTGAGAAAGTCTCAAAGTCGAAGTTCTGTCGCCTAAGCTTTAAACTGTTTTTAACGATAGATTATTTGCATCGCCTTTGGAAACTCCTTATAAAGTTCAGCTTCGTGGAAAAAGTTAACTAAGATGCTCCAAAAAGCAACTTTATAATTGAGTACCTGAAATATACGGTTTTATGCACATCCAATTAGATACGTCTTAAGGGAAGGCATTTAAACTGTTTTGATGGTAGACGTAGCTGCTGCATTGCTATGGCCGCTCTATACCAATCAGGCTGTAGATCGGTCGATCGTCAGACCTAGTCCTCAGTGATTCCTTCTTTTTAAATACTTTCTAGTTGCTAACAAGTGTATTAAGTGAAAAAATGGCGTCAAGTATATTGACTCTATACTTCCTACGCCTTCGTATGAGACTTAGGTACAATGAATCATCGATCTCTGCATAATAATAATAATAATAATATTTTTTTATGAAATACAATTAGTCTCGAATAAAACAAATAAACATAGAGTACCCGCAGAAGGCAGTTAGTTGCCTGTGCACGGGTATTTACCCATACGAAACATTTTCATTACATACTGATATAATTTGATATATTTCTAATTATTGTTGAACCTATGATTATATCACACAATTACACAAATTTATAATATAATGACTTACCTTAAGGAAGCTCAATCCAGATTATACGAGATTGGTCACATCCAAATTGAACCACCATGTAGTATACCCCTTAACGCTGTGAGTGCGCCAGTGTTTAGATCGTAATCGCTGCCACCTAGCCTGTCCCGTCTCGTCATTATACTTCGGAGCTAGATATCATCGCTAATGGGGGTCTTGTAAATGTTTTTTTTTAAGAAAACTGTTTAATAAAGGGTGGGAATTTGGTTCTATTTGGATGTGACCAATCTCGTATAATCTGGATTGAACTTCCTTAAGGCAAGTCATCTAATCCATAATTATACTTCGATGGTTACATCCAATTAGAACCACCATGTAGATGTTTAGAGAATTTAGCGATCCAGTCAAATCCCAGGAAAACTTATGTTTATTTTCCAATCTAATTCCAGCAATCGATTTATCATAAATCTATTTCCCAAAATATATTGGGTATATAATAATGTAATATGTAATTACTAGTAATTTTCAAGTAGTGCACTATCATTGTAACTGTTACATTTATATGTATGTGTATAATCCTAAAACTATTTGGCTAAGCTTAACGAGATCATTATTACAAAATTTATTTTATATAATTAGCAAAATATCCTCCTTTGGGTCAATTATAAAATTTTGGAAATGCTTCTGACTTCTCTGACCACCCCGCTGCACTTTTGATGTTTTCAACATGTATCTCAGTTTGCAATGCTGTTGTAGATGCTGCGTGTCGAGTGCTGTGGCCCTTAAATTTATTTGTGTCAATTCCACTCAGCTTTAGTACATTATTGATCCAACGACTGCTTGTCTGTGGTGTAGCGGGGTGATAAAGTTTTTTATGTGTTAATATGAGCTGATCGTGATTGCCTCTCAGCTCACATGTGGCATGTATATAGTGTTCTATTGTTGTTGCAGTACAAATGTTTGGTCTTTCCATAAAAAATGTAAACAGTAATTTCGGTTGAGCTTTTCAAGGGGTAGAAGTTTGGATAATATCCGTTATGTGTATCACTAGCTCATGTTCCTGGGTGCTAATATTACTTATTCTAATTTTGGATAAAGGCTGCGCTCTTTGTACCGGACCCATTGCCAACAATATAACTAACTTTAGGGTAAGATCTTTCAGAGTGAGATTTTGTAGTGGGGATAGATTTTCTGTAAATGATAACACCGGAAAGGGATTCCATATTTCGTCGTAATTAGGAAACGTTGGCTTCATTTTGAACACTCCTTTCATAATCCTTTCTACCAATTCGCATTTCCCTACATCCGATATAAGATTCAATTCTGATCGGTGAGTGTTTAGCATATTGTAATTAGCTCCTTTTTTAATTGTTCTTCTAAAAACATTTGCTGTAGCTGGTGAATATATATTTTCAATGTTTCCCCTACAAAAGCTCCACCATTTACCAAATGAACAGTTATATTGTTTCAGTGTGTTGGTGCTCAGAGAGGCCAGTAGAACCTCTAGGGCATCTCCTGTTATGCCCTTTTTAGTGTGTGCCTGACAAAACTGCTGCTCCCAGGGTAATCTGTTGCCATAGCGGATGCGGTTCCCTAGATGGGGATGACAATAAATTAGGGCGAGGTTCAAGAATTACTATGGAGGAAATTAGAATATATTCTAATTTTGGAAACCAAACCTGCGATTTCCACATCGGAAATACAACTATGCCTGCTGCTCCATCATTCTCCAATTTCTTTAAAACTTTGGACTTTAGCAAGAATGGAGGAAATATATATGATTTGAATCCTGTCCAGCAGAGAGAAAATGCATCCACTGCTAAGCTTTGTGGGTCGCGATGCCATGAAAGAAATTTTTCACACTTGTTGTCAATGTGTGAAGCAAATAAGTCTATTTCTGGCATTCCCAACCTGCTTGTAATTATTTTGCAAGCTGTTTTATCTAGGCTATACTCAGTGTCGATATCTTTTATTCTCGACCAACTGTCTGCCATGTGATTGTCTTTGGAGCTGATATAGCTAGCAAATATGAATATAGCACTCTCCTCACACCACTTCCATATCTTAGTAGACAAGTCACTTAGATTTTTATATTTTGCACCCCCCATCCGCCTCATGTATACTACCGTTTTGTTATCGACCCTGAGCAAAATATAACAGTTGCGATGCTCCTTCGCAAAGGACTGTAAGCCAAAAAAAGCCGCCTTAAGCTCCAAGATGTTTATGTGTGCTTTACATTCTGTAGTTTGCCAGAAACCATATGTCACTGCTGGGCAAACCGATACCAGGTAACCTATAATTCTTGAAAACTCCCTAATTCTAATATTATGTTTTGAAGTAATGTGTGTAATAAGTTGCTTTACTTTAAATTTCTTCCTTTCTGGAATACCCATTACCATTGTGTTTGTATCGAAGGCGAACCCAAGGAAGTCTGCTTTTTGTGATGACCGAAGGCAACTTTTTGATAATTTATGATAAAACCCAGACTCAAAAATTCGCAGGTTTTTTCGATATTAGTGCGACACTGCTGTTCAGTCTTATTTATTAATAGGATATCATCTAGGTATGCAACTGACATTAGTCCATTACTACGTAATTTCGAGAGTACTGGCTTGAGAATTTTAGTGAAAAAAAAGGGGCCACTGAAAGTCCAAACGGTAAGAATTGAAACTCAAAAGTATGTCCTTGATATTCAAATCTCAAGTATCGTTTATGGCTTTTATGAATTGGTATTAAATAATAAGATTCTCTGAGGTCAACGGAGGATAAATAATTATTTTTAGAAACTAAATTCTTCACACTTCTGGTATCTTCAAGTTTAAAGTGTGGGGCATTAACGAATTTGTTTAAGTATTTTAAATTAAGAATGAATCTATACCGCTGGATTTTTTCCTAAAAAAATAGGGTGATAGAAATTGATTTTTTGAAGACTTGACCTGATTTATAGCACCAATTTTTTGCAATTGAAATATGCACTTAGTGTATTGGTGTTGTTTCTCCAAATATTTGATTTTAACGGCTTGCGATACTGGTGAGGAGGTTTGCAGAAAGGTATTTTGACTCCGCGAATCCACTGTAAAACTGTTTCGTTTTATGTGAGTCTTCGCCATATTGGTATGAAGTCACCTATACGATCAGCATATTTTACCTCTAGCGGAGTTTCTTTGTTCTGTCCTCTCTTCTGTAACCCCTGGTGCCTTTCTTTGAGTAATCGTCGGTCCTGGGTTGTCTGCTCTTCGCCTGTTTGTTCGACCAGGTTGTCTTCTACCGTTTCTTGGTTGTGCCACCCATCTAGTTTTTTGACGTAGTAGGTTGAGTAGCACGCATATCCTTGACAGTGTTTTCTAGCGTCTTCGCCAGCTTGCTGTTTTCGCCAAAACCTTCTCCGAACCGAAGGGTGTCAATTCTTTGATTTGATGCAATCTTTTGGACCTTGCTGTTAAAATGGCGATTGCAATTCAATTATGATGTTTCGATAGTTCATAATGAATTGAACACAGCAACTGGCCTGCCTCTATCAGTTTTATGAGATGAGAGGGGGTTTCGTCTTGCGTTTCTTTGCCCATTGTGTCTGTTATTATAGCACCGAGGATTCCAATGCCTTTCCCCATGTTGTCTTGGAGATCATATAGAAAAGAATCCTTCTTTAATTCAATAGGCGAGAGCATTGCCTGGACCTCAAGATTGAGCTTAGGGCCCTGTACCATCAAGCAGTTCCCAGAAATAGGGGATGATCCTAGGAGCTTCTACCAAGCTTTTTTCTCTAGCCCTTGGCATAAATAGTTGTTCCTTCGAATAGCAAGTTCATTGGAAATGTCTGGTCCCACATCTTTCGATATGGTGGGGTCATCTCCCAGTATGCCAGTAACATTCACCTCTTTCTTGGCTTCATCGATGTCGGACGAGGATGATGAAAGGCAAGACGTGGTGTCTGTCTGCCCTCTGTATCGGATTCCGAACCTATGGCAGAAAGACATTCTCATGTCGGCTTAACTGCGCAGTCATTCACGAAGTGAACGGATTGTCAGAACCATGTAATTTCCTTCCCACTAAGAGTCACTCAGCTTGCAGGAGTCGAAGACTATGCGGGATTATAGTGATGACATATTGTGAGGCTCACGGAGTGAACAAATCCTTGCTGAAAAATATCCCTCGAAGAGGGATATTTGACCCTATCATAGTGGAATGTACTTACTAGAAGAGTCCAACTTCATTGAACGTTCCAGCTTCCTCATCTTTTTCTTCAACTTCTCAAACTCTACCTTCTGCAATTTACGTTTACGGCTCATAGTTGCACGATATAACGCCCGATGAAAAAACCGCACAAAAACAATAAACACTTGACTCGCTTCACTCAGCGCCAGAAGTATAGTGACCAGTGCTACGGGACGGGACAGGCTAGATGGCAGCGATTACGTTTATCTAAACACTGGCGCACTCACAGCGTTAAGGGGTATACTACATGGTGGTTCTATTTGGATGTGACCAATCGAAGTATAATATAATATGTACATCCGTTTAGAAGTAGGTAAGTTTTTGTCGAGAAGATCTGAATAATATACATTAATTTATTATTTCACTCCTGCATATAATATTGTTCTTGTATCCAAAGTTTTATACGTTTTTTGTATGTATAGTAACCAGTGTCTTGTTTACATTCATCAGGCAGAAGATTATAGACTCATGGGCCTATATATTCAAATGACCTTTGCCCAATTTGCTTATTCATTTTCGGGTCTCGATTGATAGTGCTTTACATCTTGTCTCATGACTATATCAAACAATAAAAAGCAAATCTATCATATTTGTGTTTTCATGGCACATGCAGTGAGAATTTGTGTTATTATGTCTAATGGGTGCATAGTGTCACTGGGAGCAGCAGCTTCTTAATAAAAGAAGGTCTTTCACTGACACCAAATATGCAACAAGTTACAACCATTTACCGCTTACAGTACCAACCCATAATTTTTATCCCCTCCAATGTCTGCAAATAAGCAGGGATCTTCGAAATGTTGTAACACTATATTCCAGAGGCTTTATTTCAAACTCTACCGTGATAATATTCGAACTTTGGCTCACAAATTTGCTTAGAGATCTGCACCACACAAGTCCCTGTTTCTGATTTATGTCGGTCTGTTAGTCCGTATCTGATATTTATCAATGCGTCATAAGTATTGAGTCAATCTACTTGTTAGTAGGTAGTGTTTAATTTAAGGAACATAAAATTCAAAAGAGGAATGTGCAGATATGAGAAACAGTCAAGTCATCATTTACACGCAGAACGCTAAAGTGGTACGTACTCCTAATATATAAATGTTGCTGACATACATCTATGACTATTTTTCCTGTAGTTTGGCATAGTAGGAGTGTTGTGTGGAAAAATCCGAGAGGTACTTCTCAAGTTATAGGCGGTTATAGAATAAGCGAACAGACCAACAGATAGACTGACGGAAACGAGTGAGACGGTTATTCGTAATCACAATTTCGGAATTTTTCATGGAAAAATAGGAAGTAAAAATAAAAAAATATAAATCATTACTGGCTTTATGTAACCAACAGAATGCTTACTTTTTCAAGTATGCTGATCCATACGACAAGAAACTTTCTGATGGATTTTTAGCTTTGACGAATATAACCAATACAGAGGAAATGAAATTTCTTTCATCTGCAAATACAGAAAGGGGAAGAAAAATTCCTTCGTTGCACACAAATAACTGCGTTGCCCAAGAAACCGCACCGAAAAGCCGACTGACTGTTTTCTCTTCGGAAGAATTGCCCTTCATCTCACGTCGACGAATAAAACCTCGACGAAGGCGCAGCAGTTTTGAATAACAATTGTAAAAGTTTCACGAAAAATAATTACGTCTTTGTTCTTTTCTCCTTTTATCCTGCAGAAAGTCGTTGGGAAAGGTGGTAGTTTTGCCGATCGAACGTGCAAAAAAGTGCGTAGCAAGTCGCTAGGGAGTTAGCAGAGCTAGTAGTTTGGCGTTCAAGGGTTTACAAATTACAATGCTGTCTGGCATGTAAATAAATGAGAAGTTGGAAAATTAATAATAATAAGTTTATTTACGTCTTGTCTAAACATAACTAAAACTAACACACATATACGTAAATAAACTGCAAATACCAACAGAAGAATGAATCATTGTGAGTGGGAATGAATGACGTATAACTCGTACAACTTATTGCTATTACTATATTACTTATATACACATAACTACTACATTACATTTTCATTTTCCTTCATACCTATCATGCTTGCAATTTCAAGTCGACTTTTCTCAATTATATTTTTTTTTTCGCTTCAATTTTGATTTCAGTTTCATTTGGAGTATTTCTTATATCATTTGGTAACATGTTAAATATGGGTAAAGTGACTTACTTTGACTTACTTTTTGAGGAGGAAGGTATTTGCTTGTTGGTTGTTGATTCTGTTTCTCGTTTGTTGATGAGTGATCTAAGGGGACAAGATAATTTCTACGTTGATACTGATAAATTATAATTTTATAAAGAATACAATGGGGGACACCATAACCTACCAATTTGCTTGGACTTTTTGCTGTTGGAAAGGTAACTTTCATGAGGTTATAAGTCTTGCCTCTGAGTCGTTAAGGTTTCTAATAGATGCAAGTGGCCTACTGTGCAGAAGGGTTTTGCTAGGTCTAAGGACACACAAAATATTCAGTTTGGTCGAGTGGTTGGTATAATTTTAATGTCAAAAATGAAATTGGGTCGTGGATCGATTGTTTTTTCTGGAATAAAAATTGTTTTTCATTAATCAGACTATGTTTCTCAAACATATAGATTTTATATATATATATATATATATATATATATATATATATATATATATGTATATATATCATTAATCAGACTATGTTTCTCAAATATATAGATTATATATATCCTTTAATTTATTTGGGTAGAAGGCAAAGTATTGCAGAAGTACACTCTTATAACTTAAACTCTCAAGCTTTCGAAGATCATGTCTTCATCGTCTGGAGTAAGTCGGCAAGATTGTTGCTGAAATTGTTTTTAAAACAACAGTGAAGGGAACACATAGTCGACGAATAAAAAACTGGACTGATGAGGTTCGATTAGGACAGAAATATTTTATTAATGAATGGCAAATCATTTTGAAAGGTTTTTTTTAAATAAGCGTTGATTGATTTTGGAAGAAATTTGGAGATTTTAAAACTAATTATCAACTACTCAAAATTCTCCCGAGATTTCATCTTTTTTCATCCCTAACGTTCAATGGCAATAGTCGCACCTCCGAACAAACTCTTCCTTTTTCAAGGCCTGAAGCAAAACGACATGATAAGAGTAGATTTCAGAGGTAATTAAAGAAAATTAAATTCAAATAAATACTAATATTGATGGCCATTAGAACTTACGTATGATCCTTCACTAATCGGGGAAAACATTCTCATCGCAAAGACACCGATTTGAATATCGAGTCGCGTAAACTGTTTTTACTACTGCAAGCATATCAGTAGCTTCATCGTTCGTAAAATGCATTTGTTAAGCACGAAAATTGTTCATAGTAACGCAAAACTATTGAAAACTACTGACCAGGATTACCTGTATTATTTATGCTATATGTATTTGTTTCATTGTATTCCATACCCGGCTTCGATTAATTGTCTTTTTCTTATATACCCATAGTGAATGCGTTTAAACAAAAAATATGTATTTTGTTATTAGCTAGCCCCACCTTGTGAAAATCGACGACTTTATTATTAAAAATACAGCAACAACTGTGGAACAAAAAATGTTTACCTTGTCCTAGACTTTAAGTATCAGGTAATTTTTTTAGAATCAAGATCGCAATTACGCCCCCTAGCGGCCATTTTAGGAACTTAAAAATGTTTTCCAGGTTTTTATCTTGGTGACAACACTCGTATTTTCAAGATTTTGCGCACGGGAAGAAAAACGCACTTTTGACGTTCCAGAAAGATTACTTTGTACGTAGGGAGTAGATACGTCAAACGCTAAAATTGTTGCAGAGTGTACTTTGTACTACTAACGCCCAGATCTACCAACTGCAAATGACGTTTCCATTCCAAACATATGCAGATCATACGGCTATCTTGGCATTCCATGAGAATCCAGACACAGAGTCGCAAAATCTGCATAGAAAAATGCTCCAAATTGAGAACTGGCTAAAGAAATGGCCCAGAAAGGCTAATGAAACGAAGCCCACAGGTGTGGCATTCACCTTATGTAGAAAAACCTGTCCATGCGTAACTATCAATAATATTCAAATTCTATAATCAAATTATATCGGAATCCATTTATACAAAAGGTACATGGCAAAGGCACATTTCCTCAAAAAGTAAACAAATGGTCATCAAACTGAAGGATGTATTTGATTATTGGTAGGAAGTCTGAACAGTCATTGTACAATAAGCTATTATTCTATAACGCCTTGTTGAAACCAATTTGGCCGAAATTTGTCCAGTTATGTGGCATGCAGCATCTTCAACAACTTTGGGCTTTCTTTCTCTAGGTTTTATTGTAACTTGGTGGGGATATATTTATGTCCTTCAGGTTAAGTTAATAAATCGTCATTTGCCTTCTCACTTGGTGATAGGATCATGACTACCTCAAGTAATAACATAATAATCAATCAACTTAGTATTATAGATATGATCACTCGCTGGAGTAATACTCTACAATCTACTCTTTTAGATTACATTAGTCTGAAGAACATACTGCCCATACGGACAGATTGCTGCATTCTCTTAGGAGCTGTATAAAAACGTCTAATGCAACATCGACATACCTTCATTTTCAAGCACCTCCTATACTGAGGCTTTATTTCGTACTTGTATAGAGTGATGGAGAAGATAGCTTCCTCTATAAGCTTCCAGGATATCGAAACACTCATCGTTCTAGCATATAGAATTATCTAGCTTCAGAGAGACCTTGTATTCGAAATAGCCGTCTACAAATTAATATAAACTCCATACCCGTTGCTACATCTGCAATAGTGCCACACTTGGTTATTGTGTTGAACGCGAGTTACAGCATACAATTAAACGACTTTGGTGCGCTTAGTTCGCGAGCTTCTGAGCAAATCCATTTAGTCTTATCTATTCCTTGCTCTCGCTAACATTTTAACCGTATCTGCTTAGGATCTGCTAATTTCTATTTTCCTGGTTAATTACCAGAATGGACGGAGTCATTTTTCAGCTATTCTGATTGCGTATTAGTGATGTGCCCTCTGGTTAATTTCGGTGAACTAGTTCACCAGGTCGCGCTCACTAAAACGAATTAGTTCTAGGAACTAGTTCGCGAACGAACTATTTTATCCAAGAATGATGTCGGTGAAACCATCGCCTCTCAATCTTTCATCCCATCGCAGAAGAGCAACGGGGGGCGTGGTTAATATAAGATGGGTAACCGCTTCGTATTGTTGTTTTTGTTGT